ATTTACACTCTCCTCAAGAAGAATAAACCTCTTAAGATCCCTAGCATGGGAGCTGGGAGGGCTGTATTAATTTAGATTGAAGGAAAATTAAGTGGAAGGAAAAATTCTGCTACTTAGAGCCTATGTGCTAAATATGGACTACAACTACAATGCCAAATCCCATCTGCTAAGAAGTTTCTTGAGGATAAACAAAGACTACAGTGTTAGTAAGTGGTTCAAAGTCCTCCTCTCAAATAACATCTTCCATCAGATTGAATTTAGTTTGAAAATCAAAGTTGCCCCTAAGCTAAAGTGGATAGGCAAAGATTAGATTTGTTTTTGATCCAGACATTTCCAGAATCTGGGATGCCATCTGCTGGTATTGGTTATATGCAGGGTCCTTTCAACTTATTTTATGGACAAAATCAACTGCCCTCAAATGTGCAAATACCTTATTTAATGCCAATGGAATCACTATGCATGATTGGCCAACTTACTTCTAGACCAAATGGAGACAACAGCGCCACAAATGCAGGGAGCCGAGGGGTTAAATGAACACTTGGCTTCATTAAAACCTCAGGAGAAACCCAGGATTATCTCTATACCATGCTGCATTAATGTTTAAATTAATACTCTATGTGAAAAGATGGAGACAAATTAATGTGTGAAATCCCTCATTTCACATCTGAGTTTTACTATTAGCTGTACATAATCAATATTGTACCGCTTAGAAGCAGTTGTTAAACATACAGATTTCAGTGGTTTCAGTTTTTTTTAAGCCAAATAAAACAAAAAGGAGAAACAAGACTCAACTAGATGGGTCAGTACTTATGTACCTTTGTTGCCAAATGAGCAAAGCAAATTCATCTTACCAACAGGCAGGGGGAAATAAAAAAACAAAACACTTCAGTAAGAGGACACCAGCGTCCCTGAGAGAAAGCTGGAGTGTCAGGTGAGTTCTCGCTCGTCCATGGAAAGGCGGCTTCTGACCCGCAACTAAAGGAGGCGCAACCTTGGAAAGCTTCATTACCCTCCCTCTGGATTTAACAAAAGCAAAAAGGTTTACGGTCCTGCTGGTAAAAAAAAACAAAAAAAACAACAAAACCCAGCAACAAGTTATTAGCTTCCACTAACCAGAGCATTAGGGTGTTATTACAATATGCTGAAGGCTTAAATACCTAAAACATAAGATAAATCAAGTTCTTAAGAACAGAGATTTACTATAGAGAAAATAAATAAGGAAAGAAGAAATCTAAGACATCTTTATAGAATCTAAAGCAGAAACTGCATAATTCAAGGCATGAATCAAGAGCAAATGTAATAGATTTCACAAATAGATTTCACACATGGATAATAAAGACACTTCTTAATTGCTATATAGCTCTCTGATGCCATGGTGAAGGATTTGATGCCCTTTGCAGTGATAAAGGAGAGCTACAGGATATCAACGGTCTGCTGCTGAAACAGCATAGGCCATCTTTAAAGTGTAGGTGAGTGCGTGCCTTCATTTGTGTGTTTATGTAATTACATTAAATGACTTAAAATACATTTAATCTACTAGTCTGTGAAACTATCAGCACATAAAGTAAAACCCATAAAGGTGGGGAGAAAAAAAAGGTACTCTGGTGTAGCTTTGCTTTTTAAAAATCTTCCTAGTCAAATTTTAGAAATATACGATCACAAACCCCACTTTATCTCTTTGATCAATTATTTGCATAGAAGCACTTTAGGGTAGGGCTTATAAAGTATTCTTGGAGCTAAATTAAATTGGAAAGATATCAATCGGGTAGAGAAAGTAAAATACCACAAACCTCAAAGATAGGAGATTAAAAAGGACTGAAAAAGCACACATACAGTGAGTTTGTAGTGAACTGTTTATTAGAAGTCTGTTAGGACACACCACAAAGTGACTTCCCAACAAAGATAAAAGGAAAATCATCTTACATTAGGCCTCTACTTGACTTGTGTCCCTGTAGACACTGCTGACTAAAAATGCAAACAGCTTATGCACAGATTCCAGTTGCTTAATCAGTTCTACTTTATAAAATTTTATTGAGAATACAGTAATCACAAGAACACCACTGGAAAGGAAAGTACAAATTCGATATTTCCAAAGGAAAAGTGAACAGTCCTGTACCCCGGGGCGTTGAAGGGAACCCCGTAATTATGCTGAGAGAACATGGAAGTCTGGGAACTGTTCCAGACATTTTAGCATGTTGTCAATCCACAGTGCTGCTACGTATGTATTTAAGGACACAGGGCAGTCACATTCAAAACACACCAGGTCTGTGCACACAATCATCCGTGCTCCAACAGTTGATCAATAGGCCCATGAGGAGGCTTGGATGGACAGAAACAAAGGACATGGGACAGACAACGGTGCAGGGTTAAACTCCGCAAACGTGGGATGCACTTTTCCCCAATCAACCCCCCCACCGAAAACAAAAAAAAGATAATAAAACCACATGCACAGTTCAGAGCTGTGGGCTGCAAAGTGTTCAGAGCCAAGAGTCATGATGGCACACGTTTCACTTATTAAATGTATTTCCCACAGTGCCTTCAGCCGAGGACGCCCCACTCACTCAGCTAGCTGCCACACCAGAGAGTCTGGACACAGCGAAATGCCAAAGGTCAGAGCTCTCTGTGACACTCGTTCTCACATATACATATATACACAATCGCACCTTAAACACAGATGGCTGGTTACAAAAGTCTAAGTACAATTGAACCACGATAACAGTTGCATTTTATCCTATCCTTTCACTTCACTCTGAGCTTCCTTTTCTCCATGTTCAACCTCCATGGCCTCCTCGCCGTTCTCTTTGCTCTCAGGTTTCACCTTATCTGCTTCTTTCTGCTCAATAAGAAAAAAAAGAAAAAAAAAAAGAAAAGCAAAACTTTTTTTAAATTGCCCTTTGATGTGTGCTGCCCCCTAGTGGCTGCTGTATATTAAAAAAAAATCTTCACCTTAGAATCCCTCTCTGCAAATTTCTGGAACATGTTGGCATAGATGCGTTTGTCCTTTTCGTGCTGCTCCTTAATGCGTTTCTGACACAGGACCACCTATTGAGATGAAAAGATAACAAGCTTAACACATTTAGGACTAATAAAGAGACCAGTTCATTTTGGAAGATACTTTTAAGCCTTGATTTAATTCATTAGAACCGTAATGTGAAATTTGCACACTTAAGCTCTTTTCTTTCTTTTTTTTTTAAACCGGTACCTTAACTTAAATCTAAATAAAAAGGGAACATTTTCACACGTTTAAAACAGGAAAATGAAAGAAGAACAGAACGACATCCTAGAAAACCAATCGTTACATAAATTAAGCACCATAGCTTTTAAAGTAAACTGAATCTAGATAACAGAATAAAGTTATTGGTAAATTTATTTATCTTCATGACATTACCCAAATTACATCAGATGTCCGATCAAAATAGACCATCTGGGTCACAGCTACACAAGCATAATTGCACAGTTGTTTAAATGGTCAATGAGATAAAAGTGCCACAGCCTCATGATCTGATTTCCTGTTGGATTTGATACTAAATCGTTTCTGATGTGTTCAGGCCTAAACACTCCTTGCTCAGGGAAAGACATTATCTCCTGACCAAAGGACTTGAAAAGTTATTTATCAATTTATTACCTTTTTTTTTTGGATTCGCGTTCCAATTTACAAGTTGGTTCAGACAAATCTCTGCATCGCCATCAAACTGTTCACATGCAGCAGCTCTGGCTTCCTACTTATTACAGGGTTGAGTTTTAGATTTTAACATTTACTTTTAAGGAGTTTGGCCTCATCATACCCATGATCTGTGCATCACCTATACTCCAGCAGACGATTTTTATTAGATGGTCCTTTATCCAAAGATCCTGAGGTGATCAGGCTGTAACAGGTTGTGTCCCAAACCTTTGGAACAGTTGATCTCACCTGTCCACATGCCGACCACTGAGACTGCTGAGGCTTTAAAGATCTGTGCTAAAGAGCCTTTTTTATTCCCTGCCCTTTTATTCCAGCAGGGTTTGGGATTCTTCTAAAGTTTACAGTTTAATCATCCATTTCTGGATGATTGAACTCCAGCTGTTCTTTAACTTTTGACAATTTTTGTTTTCATGTGTTATATATACTTTGATATCCCTAAATAAATTCCAGTGCAACAAACTTCCTTTAACATGCAGCCTAATAAATAGAGTCCACTTGTAACATTATTTAATCTCATTATAAATAATTCTCATCTCAGAGATTGATAGACTATTGGTAAAACAGTGATGTTTATGAAGAGAAAGGAAATCAACAGAGATGTTTTGGTTAAGTTAAGTTAAAAACAATACTCCAAGCTTTAATCACCTTGCAGCGCTCTGTCTAGTCCATAATCTGTATACAAAAACATGGCACAGCTTCAACCATGTAAATAAACTGCTGACTAATCAGGAGCAGCAAGTAGGCTGCCAGTAACTCTGAATCAGCTGCAAAGATGCTAAGCTAAAGTAGGAGAACCTACTGAATGGACAGCCATTTGAACTCCCTACATATCCCCTTTATGGAAGGGCAATGCTATAGGGCCAGATTTAAGTTATTTTATAAGAAAGCTCCAAGGATGCTTTCTTTGCAGTATAACAAAAGTGATGCAGGCAACTTACAGAAGGATGTGACTGGCCAAACTTTTTTTGACCCAGGTAACAATTTGGTGGTAAAAAAAAAAAAATCTATACCTGTGGTCATACATGGTGGTGGCAGAAATGTGCTGAGGGAGATGCTTTTACACAGCTGGGAGTGGGACAGAAGCTGCTCAGATCAAAGGGGGAGATTAAACCAAAATCACAGTAACAAAAACAGAACCAAACAACCTGTTTAAGGGGGAGGTTCACCTTGTCGCAAGGCACCTACCCTTAACAATAAGACTGAGTTACAAGAATATATTTTATGCATCTAAGAATATTAGGATAATATAACCCAAAGATCTCCCAAAGTCCAAACCTAAATCCTATCCTAATGAGAATCGGTGACAAATCTTGGAAATTGATGCTCACATTGAATATCCTCCCATAACCGTTGGGTTATTTGATCTCTGACTAATCAAAGCTAGTAGAGAGATACCCTCATAGTCTTGCAGCAGAAATTTAATTGAAAGCTGTTTTTGTAGAGTATTCAATCAGGGTGGCTGAACAGAAATGTATGAGACACTGTTTACACTTGGATTTTGAAGCCCAGTTATGCTTTTCTTTCTACTTTACATCAAAAATCCCATTTAAAATACAATACAGGTTTTTTATGCAAAATATTGTGTCAAAATACTTTTACTGTACCCAGTTTGAAAAAAAAAAAAGTTTCTATAATATATGGGGTTATACCTGGCTCTTTGCGGCTTTGTTGGAAGGATACAGCTGAACGACCTGCTGGAAATCATTCCTTGCTCTCTCGTATTCATTCATACCATACAATGCCTCGCCTCGTCGGAACAAAGCCTTCTCGCTTGTAGAATCCATTTCCAGTGCCTGCAACCAGGAAATGTGTTTTTTTCTCCAATCCATTGAAACATATACTCTTTATTTTAAAGAAACAATTCTAATCTTAATGATTTATGTCCCATCGGCGACTTCATGGAGGTAGAGACGAGACCAATACCTTGTCACAGTTTTCTAAGGCTTTGCTTGGCTCTTGCATTTTAAGATAGCACATGGCCAGGTTTAGATGTGCAGCCAGTCGTAGGGCCTTCGCCTTCTTTTCATCCTCTTCTGACAAGCCAGACTCGTGCTCTAGCCATGAAACTATCTTTTTGTACTGAACAGATGCTTGCTTGTATTTCCCATCCTGTAAGAACAGAATCAATAACTCAGAAGAAATGACAAGGAAAGAGCAAGCTTTTAAATGATGCATAAAATTCCCTGGCTGTAAAACATGTACCTTAAAGCACTGTGTTCCTTTCTCTTTCACTATACCGCTTTGCTCCAGCTTTTCTACTGTGTTCATTTCCCATGACTCCTTTGCCTGTTTGATACAAATAAAAAGGCCAAATTGAAGAAAAGTGGAGAAATTTACCAACTAGTTATCACAGAGCTTCGTGATTTGCTTACCTTCTCAAAGGCAGTCAGCTTAATCTTATACTGCAGTGTTGCTCCACCAGGAATATTATATTTTTCATTGCCAGCAGTCCCAAAGCCATATCTACAAATCAAACAATGTTTGCTTTTAGTGCATGAAGACAATTTAGTGTCTGATTCTAAACACTGCTAAAGCAAAAAAGTCTTGTGCAACTTGGAGGAATTTGTCTTTGATCAATTCCATCGTAGATTATGTGAAACACACCAAACTGATCACATTTCCGGTACCAAAAACGTTTCTTAGCGTAGCCCATAAATAAAGCACTTTTTAAAAATAAACTAATAAATATAGTCATACTTGGGCTTCATAGTGAAGAGTGCCTCTTCTCCTTGCTCCATGGCCATGATGGCTTTCTCCACACCATTGGGCAAGCTAAAACTCTCTCCATCTCCAATCTCAAACTTCAGTTCCCTCTCATCAAACACGCGTTCATCGCAGGTACCCTGCAGAACAACTGCAACAGAAATACTGGCATTAACTTCAGCCACACTGTGGTGGTAAATTTTTTTTAAAGGTGAATGGGACAGATAAGGTTATATAAAGACTTAAAAGGAAACATAAAAACATGAAGCTTACTTTTGAGTTTTTGCTCTTTGTTCTAGGTGACTAAAGCTTGAATCTGTTAAACCGTGTTACTGAGATGTGTACCACCCACAGGTCTCTAGAAGTGTCACTAAACCTGTTTTACAACCTATTACAGAGCATTTTAGCGCTCAAGTAATGCCTTTGGATTTTTTTAAAGTTTAATTCTTGTCTAACCTTTAAATAAAAATGCACCTCAACACATATTCACATCTACACATATTCACACTGTCCATTGTAGCAATTTAGAGCAAATCTAGCACCTTTCATCCACCATAATTAGTAATATCATACATGTAGACATATGATCAGCTGTTAAGTACATTTTCTGTTAAAACATTGGTCCTTAGCTTGATTTTTCATTTTACTCACAGTAAAATAACCTTGTTGAGGTCGAGGCCATTTAGCCTAATGCCTGAATAACAACATCAAGGCTGCGTCAAACTTAAGATAAAGGAGTTTTATTAATGTTGTTTGATTTCAACTTTTTCATTAAAGCTTTACCATATGGCGCATCTCCTCTAAGATAGTTGATAGCTTTAGCTCAAATACCTTCCACAACAGCTCCTTCATTGGGTTTGGAGTAACCTTCTCCTTTGGTGATGATACGCCGGATGATTCCCCCGTCTTCATCATCTGTAATGTCTTCCCCTCGAAATTCAAACAGTTCCACCTAGATTTAAGTAAACAAATAAATCAACATCTCAAGTTTTTAGGCTTTAAATGGATATGAGCCTGATCACTGTGATAAAGAAAAAAAAGAGAGAAAGGAATGAGCTCATTAGGGGTGTTCTTAGAATCACTATCTGCTTTCTCATCACCAGAATACCTGACATGTTCTGGGAACTAACATTAGTCTCTAAAGCCTGAGGTTTTGAAAGAACAAAAGATGTATCAGCACTGCGAGTAGCTGAAAGTTTTCACTTTAGCTTAGCTGCCATTTACTGATACAATTGAAATAATCGTCAGCTAATTTAGTAATAGATTCATCATTAAGTATAGAAACTCTAGAACATGTCTGTAGCTGACATAGCTGCCACTTAGAGAACTATACCAGAATTTAAAAAAAATCTATATAAATATCTTGCATTTAAGATAAGAAAAACTTTTTGATCCGTCAATATCCTCCAGAACTCCACAAGTGGCAAAGTTTTAGTTTAACCTCTTTTTAATTCTGTAAAAATCTTCTGTAAGCAAATTTTTTATATCTGATTAATCGATCAATAGAAAAAATTATCGACAGATTAATCAATTAGCTAAATAATCATCAGTTGTAGCTCTACTAAATTTCCTGAAACCTAAAACCCTGAAACAAATAAACTACGTCATGGTTAACATCATTACAACCCTCATAGTCAGGATCTTACTTCAGTGGGATCATGAGATTACTACTACCATCACTATTATTGTAATTTTATACCATTTTATTTCAAAGTTTTTTTTCTGCCCTTTGCAGAGATTTTCATCACAGTGATGCTTTACTTGTTAATGACAAAGGTCATCAAGAAATGCCTGATTTTAATTCTAAATAAAACTGATCAGATCATATTCGACATTTTCATTTTAACAACTTTTTTCTTCATTTTTGATGATCTTAAAGCCTGTGCCCACCTCGAAAACAAGTGTTGCGCTGGGAGGGATCTTGGGCGGACTGCCTGCGGATCCATAAGCATACTCTGGCTTGCAGATGAGCTGACACACCTCTCCCACTCTCATTGTCGCCACACCGATATCCCATGCCTTAATCACTTGTCCTATAGGGAGAGAGAACTTAAATAACCCCTCATGATTGTGCAACCATGACTTAGAAACACTGATGCCTTTCTGATAGCAAACCAACCTTTGCCCAGCTCAAAAGAAAACTTCTCTCCTCTGTCTCTGCTGGAGTCAAAATGTGTTCCATCCAGGAGAGTACCCACATAATGGACAAACACTTTATCACCAGTCATAGGCAGCTCTTCACCAGTGCCTTCCCTTTTCACCAGCTGCAAGAGAAGAAATGTGCAGAAGTTAGAAAAAACTGAAATAAAATGCAACTTTCAGTCCATGTGCTGAATATCTATTATACAGCTGAGATATGTTGCACAAGAAGCTAATTTTTAAAAGCATTTAATAGGAATCTAACATCCTATATAGGACAGAAGTAAGTCATGCAGCACTGATAGCTGCTCCTCTACAGATCTTTCTGGAAATGCATGGTGCTGCACTGCAAGTGTTGAATTTCAACCTCATTCAAAACTCAACATAAAAAAACCTGCTTCAATGCACAGGTATAGGATCAAATAAACAGTTTTTTTCATTATCTTAGTTAGCCTTTGCATTTAAATTACAATGAAAAATCTGTGCGTCACACAAGCTACAAGAAGCTAACGTTAGCCTAGCTTTAAAGTAGCAGCAGCAGCAGAGCATTTACCTTTAAAACTCCTCCATCTTTCTTTGGTGTGATGTCTTCTCCCTCCATGGGGATGCTGTGTTGTCCTTCGCTGTTCTGCTCCTCTGCGGTCATCGGTTTTACTGGGTCAGATTCAACAGTATCCCTGTAAACCAGCAACAACTGATACTTGCTACCAACCACGCCAAGTGCAGCAAGCAGCAACTAACGTCAACAGAAGTAGCAGCAGTGCGTCGTTTATTTCCTACGCTGTTAGCTCTACAATCCTTTTTTTTTGCAGCTGGAAAGGAAATACGCGCTCACTGTTTTTATTTAGTAAAAATTGCTCAAAAATGAGGTTGATTGCGATCTTCGGGAGAAGCTTGCTGATTCTGAGCCACTGACAGGGGCTTATAGAGGAGCAGAGAACTTTCCAGACAGTCTAGGAGGATCGACAGCAACGAATGCGCGTTAGAGATGTTTCACGTTTACACTAGCGTATGCCACAGAGGCGGTGCAAAGCGCAAATATGCGAGTAACTGCAAGGTTTATTAGCATTAAATATATTTATTTTTTTACTTTTGAGACAATATCAGCAAAAGTGCCAGCATTACATGTAAATTGTGTAAACATTTCAATGAGAACAAGATAGGGCTTATTTTACAATTGCCCCGCCCAAATTTATTTCTTCATATAGTAAAACATGCATCTATTTTTTTTTTTACTTTGCTCCTATTGGCTACAATCTGTGAGCGTTTCTGTTTGTTGGCGCGGTTGTTGAAAACCCGGGAGTTGAGCAGAGGTGGTTTTAATGCTTCATATCTGGGGTGAGTTTACTACTTAGCGTTTAGAAATATCTATTTAATAAATACAAGACGGTGAACCAGATCACCTCAGCAAGAATTGACCGTATATTATTTGACCTAATCCTGACTTTTGCGTTAAGGCTGAACGTTTGGTTCAGATCAGTGTCCCCTACAAATTATAAAAACAGGCCATTTTATTATTGAAGGGCATATTTTCATTGACAGGCTAGCTAGTTGCACAGATCTGGGTAAGTAAACCGATCTCTATGTCTTTACATCTACGATTCATGCTGGTTTTTGCAGTTTCTACCTTAGTCAGTTAAATAACATGCTGCTGTCATTTTGCACATCTCTGATGTTGCTGATATTTTCAAATATCCATGTAAAAGGGTCCATGGCCTTCAGGTGCACCGCATTTATACACAGTATGTGTTTATTTTTTTAACTCTTCACTATTATGTTATTTTTAAACACTTATCTAAGGTCCACATTTGTGTGACCATTTATATCTATAATCTTTTTGCTGCTGAAACAAGAATTTCCCCATTGTGGGACAATAAAGGAATTTTTTATTCTATTCCATTCTATGATTGATACTAAGAAGGTTAAGCCAGAAATGGTAGTTGGGTATTTTTAGAGTTTTTTTTTTTTTTTTTGTCTTTTATAATAATAGAAAGTTAACATAGAAGGAAACCGTGCAATTGGAGAAAAAAAAAAGCACAACAGTGTTAATTCAAGCCTTAAGAGATTTGTGAAGCGAATTACAATCAATAGTTTTGGCTAGACTGATTTTGCATCTATTGAAACTGGTGTCTTCGCTTCAAAAGCAAAAACACACAAAGTTTTATCAAGGGCTTAGGTTATGGCTGTTGTCAGAAGTGTCTTACTTGAGCTAGGAAGAAAATGAGTGGACTGTTGCTTAGTGCACTAAAATCCAAAGCTTCATGGCCTTTTTAATGATGCATACTCTTCAAAGATTAAACTTCTATAATTACGTACCAAGGGATGAAACAGAGATGTGCATTGGCCAATTTAAAGAATAGAATAGGATATCTCTTTATTGTCCCACAGTGGGAAATTTTTTGTGCTCACAGAAGCAAAGAGATGATAGAAAAACTGGTCACACAAATGTTGACCTTAGAAAAGTATATAAGATTAACATAAAATACTGTACTGTAATATGTTTTAAGAATATAAATACTGTGCACCTGGAGAATAAATAACCAATATACAGCTATGGACATTTTTACAGTAATGGATATTTGGAAATAGCAGCAACATCAGAGATGTGAAAAATTACTGCAGCATGTAATTTAACTCACTAAGGTAGAAACTGCAAAATCAGTATGAATATAACAACTTATTGAGTGGTTAGAAAGTCTTCCAGCTGCTGGGAGTAAGGATCTGTGATAACGCTCCCTGGTGCATTTAGGGTGCAGCAGTCTGTCACTGAAGGAGCTCTCAATTTGTCTTTCAATACAAAGCAGCTTAATAGTTTATGTGGTGTTTGCTTTCTTTAGGCACCTGAGAAGCATGGAAATTGGAAGAGACTCGTTCCCCTTTCCCTACAAGCCCTACGGCATCCAGGAGCAGTTCATGAGAGCTCTCTACAGCGCCCTGGATGAGGGCAAAGTGGGCATCTTTGAGAGTCCCACTGGAACGGTGTGTTGGTGTAGAGGAGCATCATTTGAGTAAAGTCAGGGTTGAATTTTCTTGAAATCATCAGGATCTAACTGATGCATTTTTTTTTTTTTTTGTTACTTCAGGGCAAGTCTTTAAGTCTGATATGTGGAGCCCTGAGCTGGCTGACAGACTATGAGGAGAAGAGGAAACAGGAGACAGCTGCTCTGCTGCAGGAAGGAGAAGCCTCTCTCTCCATCTCTGTTGCTCCATCATCCAGCACCAGCTCAGCATCAGCAGAACCAGACTGGATCACCGACTTTGTCCAGAAAAAGGCTGAACGTGACCTGGTGTCAAAGTTAAAGGTAGACGTGAGGGAGGGAACAGGGTATTGAGATCTTTTTATGTGTTTTTATATTTGACTCTATGTTTTGCTCAGGAGGAGGAGCTAAAGAGAAAGAAAAGAGAAGAACGACTGGAAATTATCAGGAATAACGTTCATCTAAAGTATGCTGGTAAAAGAAAGGCAAGTGTGCAGAAGGCAGCCTGTTTGGATATCAGCATGTGGAGAATTCATCACGAACCGTTTTATAAAGCCAGATAAGAGTTTTAAAATCTGACCTCGTCTCAGAGCCGCGAGGAGGACGAAGCGTTCAAGCTGCTTCAGCTCAGTAAAGAGGAACAAGCCGAGACTCCAGGAGATCAAGAGGATGAGGAGTTTATTGTTGCAGAATATGAGAGTGACGATGAGTCAAAGGGTAAGAGCAGGTGAGTGCTTTTATCGACTGGAACAACCTGTGTAAAAAATTATCATCAAAAGCCTGAAAAAAGTAGGATTACAACCAGCTGTGTTTGCTAACCTGTACAGAGTATTTGGAGGTGAGGAGGAGGAAGATGAGGAGCTGGTAGAGGAACATGTGACCAAGGTGTGGGCATCGATGCAGTCAACATGAACATAACCTCATAACCCAGAATCCCAGTATGCGTCCGTCGACTGATCTTGCATAAATGAAAACATGTGTTCTGTTTTTAGATTTACTACTGCAGTCGCACGCATTCCCAGTTGGCCCAGTTTGTCCATGAGGTTCAGAAGAGCCCCTTTAGTAAAAACATCAGTCTAGTGACACTGGGTTCTCGACAGGTACCGCTACACACACACACACACACACACACATACTCGTTCTGCTATATGTAGTGAGGACCATGTGCTGACTCCCTTTGACTTCTATTGCTTTTAAGTCATTTTTAACCCTTCCTATGCCTTAACCCTAAACTTAACCATTAACAACGCATACTTAACCCTAACCTAATTGACACATAAGTCCTAAACCTAACCCCAACTCAAAGAAGAGAACTTTACCACATGGGAACCAGTGTAATGTCCCCATATGTACCTGTAAGTCCCCACAATGTGGGATATTTTACAAAACACTGTCCCCAATATTGTAGGTAGGTAAAGTAAGACCACAGACATGCAAATATTTTTGGTTGAAAGCAATAATAAAAACATGGGCTGTGTTAGTTCAACCCTAAGTTCATGATCAGATACATGTATAGATATATGCATATATAATCTTCTGCTCTGAAATAAGGATAATATGTGATATCTGTTTTTTTAAATCTTTTTTTTCTTCCACCATTGCTAAGACTGAAGCTTTTTGCCATCTATTTATTCGCTGCTGTCATTCGGTCAAACTATATCCATAAACTTATACATATGTAATTGGAATTTTTATGCTATTGACCAAAACAAAACAAAACATAGATGTCAAATAAGACATGTTTTTTTTTTTCTCTCGAAATTTAGTTGTTAGTTTTTAACAAATAAGACTGAGAAGTCAGTTTTTACTTTCTAGCTGCATGAGTTACCAGTTGTTTGCTTCAAGGGACTGAAGATTTTCTCCATTCCTCTAATCAAAAAATCTTAATGGTCAGATTGAATTGAGAGCAATGTTCCCTCTAAGCTGCAAGCTTGCGCAATTGTGCATTCGCAGCGTACAAGAAAATCTATGCATAGTTTAAAATAAAATCAAATAAACTGTAAATCAATTAGACTAATTAAAATGTTTTCTGTATCATTTTAGAATTGGTGAATCATTATTTTTACAGTTTAAAACCAGCAGTGAAAATACCTTAAATAACTGAGTCCATGACAATCAAACCCACCGGTTTGTAACAACATCAGACAGTTAAAGACGCACCTGTTGATTGTGTAATGCAATGGTCCCAGGGGCTTTTTTTTTTTTGTTAAATTCAAGTGCGTAATAAAGCAAAAACTTAAACAGGGGTCAACCCTAACATTCTTAGATATGTTGGCTGCAGTCCTTAGGAGATTTTAGATATTTGTGCTGCATTCCAGTCATCCAGTGCTTTTTGGGAAAGAAGATTTATAGTTAATTAATCATATCAAACCAGCATCCAGAAAGCTCTTTAAGCTGCATATTTTGTCACAGCACTGAAGTTATATTCAAACATACTTGCATCCCCCCCACATCTGAAATCAAAATTTCATCCATGTCACAGTCGATAGAGGAAAACAAAGGTTACCAATGGGTCTGATTCTGTTTTCTCTGCTCTCCAGAACCTGTGTGTTAACAAGGAGGTGCGACGGCTGGGCAGCGTCCAGCGAATTAATGATCGCTGCTTGGAAATGCAGAAAAACAAGCACGGTGAGAAAATTGACTCCTTCCTTCGATCAAGACCACATTCTTTGAGCTCATGGTTTTCCCTTTTTTTCTCGTTCTTTAATTTGTTCGCAGAGAGGGTACAACATGAAGACGGCGCAAAACGCAAGAAAGGCCCACCGAAGAGCGTTTGTCCTTACAACAAAGCTTCGGCGCTGCAGCAGATGAGGGACGAGGTCCTGGGGACGATCCAGGACATAGAGCAACTGCTGAAGATCGGGAAGGAATTACACGCCTGTCCTTATTACTCCACACGTCTTGCTGTCCCACCTGCACAGGTAAACATGTGCATTTATTCTTAGTGCATTTAACCCTCCATGCTGGTATTTTAACACAGCTAAAGAGAGAGTTGCATTTATTCTTCTTCTGTTTTTTATTTTGTAGTTGGTCGTTTTGCCTTATCAGATGGTTCTTCATGAGGCTACAAGAAGGGCAGCAGGGGTCCAGCTGAAGGGACAGGTACAACCTAACTTCCTCTCTGATACATTTTAAAATCTTCAGTGTTTTTTTTTTTGTTTTTTTTTTCAAGTTCACAAATATATGACAACATGCTAACATAATTGAGGGAGATTTGGAAATAAAAGTGATTCTAATTCTAACAATTTAGTCTTTTAGGGCAGAGATTACGAATAATATCAATAAATAATAAATATAGACAATATAATAATATAAACATAAATTTAAAATAAAACTAATTATAAATAATCTAATAATAAAATAATATTATGTGATGATAAAATAATGTAAACACTATAGTTTGAGTAACTCTTTTAGATGATTATTATCCGTTGTGGAGCCCTTTTCAGCTTACTGTTGGAGCCCACCAGCTTTTTAATGAAATATTTTGGTATGTCAGAAAGCTCTTTCCTTTTGTTTAAAAAAACTCTTCCAATCTAAATTTACATTGGTCGGCCATGTGTAAAACCTGAAGAGGTTGATTATTTCCCCCCATGCCCTTACTGCATGTGAACAGGATTAAATTGTCTGTTTGTCAAAATTCTTAAAACCCTTTAATACCTTCTCTGGAGGTAGATTCAGTCTAATTAAGGTCATTTCCAGACTTCCATCCATCCATTTTCCGTCACACTTATCCCAGCTGGGGTCGCGAGGGATGCTGGTGCCTATCCCCAGCTGTCTACGGGCGAGAGGCGGGGTACACCCTGGACAGGTCGCCAGTCCATCGCAGGGCAACACAGAGACAAACGGGACAAACAACCATTCACGCACACATTCACATCTAAGGAGAATTTAGAGAAGCCAATTAAACTGTCAGGTTTTTGGATTGTGGGAGGAAGCTGGAGTGCCTGGAGAGAACCCACACATGCACAGGGAGAACATGTAAACTCCATGCAGAAAGACCCGGGGCCGGGAATTGAACCCAGAACAGGCAGCAGTTCTACCCCACTGCACCATTGTGCAGTCATTTCCTGACTTCAATATTTGTTTATCAATTAGAATGTTTTCTTGTATTTCCCATTTTGAGGATGTGCTCAAAATTATTTGAAGAATAAAAAAAAAAGTGAAATGTATTAGTAAGATAAGATGTTTTCCCTTCTGACTCACTTCATTCAAACAAAAGTTAAAATTCTCCCCCAGTGCTGTAATCAGATTTATTTATTAGGAGGGCTGCTGTAACGGACGTCCGACATCTTGTTCTAAACAGGTGGTGATCATAGATGAAGCGCACAATCTCAGCGACACCCTGTCCTGTATACACAGTGCAGAGCTCAATGGAGCGCAGGTAAACCGTCTCCACGGTCTGAACTCTTTGGTCTCTGTTTAGCTTTTCTAATGTCTGAATTCCCTGCAGCTTTGCCGCGCTCAGTCCCAGCTTACCCAGTATGCCGAGCGCTACAAGTGAGTGTCGGGGGTGGAGAAACAGACTTGAATCAACAATTCAGTTCTATCTCTCGGTGCACTTATTCAGTTTGCTCGTGTTTTAACCAGGAGCAGACTGAAGGCAAAGAATGTGATGTACATCAAGCAGATTCTGTTTGTGATAGAGGGGCTGATCCGTGTGCTGGGAGGTAAGTTTCTGCAGGAAGGATTGCCAACAATTACACTGAGGCCTTCTAAACTAACATATTCGCCAGGTTAATAATAAGCTGAGCTTTATTTACTGTTTTTGTTTTCCAGGTAAAGTTGGACAGAATCCACAGAGTCAGATTACACAAGCAGGTTAGTCTGGGCTAAATGTTTGTCAGCGTATCCCATGGAGTTACAGACTAGTAAAACATTTTCTTTTTAACCCCCCCAGGGACAGAGATGTATACCATTAACAATTTCCTCTTCAAGGCCCAGATTGACAATATCAATTTATTTAAGGTATTTCTTTTTGCTTATTTAAAAATCATGTCCCCTGTTTCTTTTTTTCCTTAACAAAAATCATCTAAATATGATGTTTTTCCTACCTTAGTTACACAGATACATTGAAAAGAGCATGATCAGCAGGAAGGTAAGTATTCTTATGCACTTTAAGTAGGTAAAATGCATATAAAAAACATTTATGGTCTTGCAAAAGTATTCATTCGTTAGAACACTTAATCGAATGTTCTGGTGCTGCAAACAAAACCACAATGATATTGTACTGGGATTTAAAGCTGACTATTTATTGGATGAAAATACTCTTTTCATAATTACCAATTCATATTTTAATTATGGCTGGATTATGTTTTTTTCTTGCTAATTTAAAGCTTATTCTGCATTTATTTTACTTAAGTTAGGCACATTAAAGGTTGTAAGGTGTTGGGAATGTGAAGGATTGCAAGGAGCGTGAAGGCTTTTGAAAGAAAATGGATGTCTGACTGTGACTTTCCAAAAAGACTGAGGGAGCCATGTCTGTCTGCAGCTGGGGGGGTTTGTGGAGAAGTACGCCGGCTCTGGTGTGATGCTGCATGCCCAGAGCACCTCCAACAAGGAGAACCGTCGCACAGAAGGTTTAAATCGTTACCTTGAAACCTTAAAGAAGAACCCCACCTCTGCACCAGGTCAGCACTGGGGTGCTTCCTTGTTTTGGTCAATAAGTATAAATTACTCACATGATATTCTGAAATGTATTTTGGTAAAAATACATAATAGACGGAATATAGTGCATTTTCTGCATCTGGCCATGTATCTGACTTTGTTAATGCATAGAAACTAACTGCAAGTGCAATAAATTAGATGTTTACCCTTTTGTGCAGTTCCTCCAACAGACCAGCAGGGGGCTGCTGAAGCAGACAAAGTGCTGTCAGCATCCCCTATGATGCAGGTGGAGGGGTTCTTCCTGGCTCTCACCAACAGTAACACTGATGGCAGGGTGGTTTTAAACAAACAAGGTACTTTTTGTTGGATTTTCACAAATAAAAAAAAAAAGAAACAATCAACTGCTATGGAATGAAACGCTCAATTTTTTAAAACCAGGTACTTTGTCAGAGAGCAGCGTCAAATTCCTTCTTTTGAATCCAGCCGTCCACTTTGCCCAGGTGTTGAAGGAATGCAGAGCAGTCATTATTGCAGGAGGAACAATGCAGCCGGTGAGCTGATTCTAAGAGAATCTGACAAAGATAAAACAGGTGATGTGGGATCATTTTCACAATAAAACAGTTTCTAAGGTATCTTATCTGATCTGTTTAGGTTTCAGACTTCAAACAGGAACTACTGCTTTCTGCTGGAGTGAAGGAGGAGCGTATCACTGAGTTTTCCTGTGGTAAATCAACTACTTTCTAACCCAACTATAAAATATGGGGTCTACCTTCATAATTGTCTTTGTTAGGTTTTTTTCTTATAGTAAATATTTGTGTATTTTACAGATGTATAATATAAAGGACTTATCATGAGCGGTACCATGATTTGGTTTATATTTTGTAATGGATAAAACGTGTTTAAGGGAATCTAAAATCTGCATTTAAAAATACAGATATCACAAATGTTACATATGGATGGCTGTAGTTTGAGGCAGAGCTGAAAGAATTATGCATAAATCAATGTTATATTAGAAAGTAAGTTATGCCAAAGTTATAGGAAGTAATATAAAAAAGCTCTAGCTTTAATCCATCATTGTCTGCATATCTGAAACTGGCTCACACCGATGAGGTCTGGTGGAAAAACCCAATACAAAAATAATGAGCCAAACCTTGGAGCTCCATTTGTCCTGCGAATTTTCTTTCTCTTGTATCTTTCTTTTTAAAAATATGAGTACTAAAGAAAGATCACACAACCTTTATACTTAAATACCTAAGTTATGGGAACACAAATTTATACTTGTGCTTTAATTTATAGTTGTGCTTTTTAGCACAAACTGATATTTTTATTTTGGGTTTAAGAAAAAATTTGTGTGTGATCATCAGCATACGCCTGAACCAACTCAGCTACCACATTTTATTGATTGATCAAACTGATCAGGTAGAAATCCCTCCTATGAGGTTTTAAGGAGGTAGGGCTGAAAGGCTGAGTCCACCCACACTATAGAGGAAGCTCATTTCAGGCCCTTTCATCAGCAATCTGATTCTTTTGGTTATGATCCTCATCTCCATTACAGGTGAGTGTTTGGATCATAGAAGGATCAAGAGCTGCACTTTATGGCTCAGACTTCATTTTATTTTATTTTTTTTAACCCTGACAGATGAGAGAAATTACCTAATTACCTCCCATCACTTTGGAGCAAAACTAAGAAATAAAACTGCTGCAGTTGAAGCAGAAATATAAGGAAAGTGGCTTCAGACTGAAATCCATATTGAGCCGTTTTTAAATCACTTTAACCTCAAGTTAAAGCTGGTTAGTTCAGACGCTGCAATCCTGGTTTATAACTAGTTTCTTAGGAGAGATGACACTGGGTATAAACCAGGTAAAACTGGTTTGGTTTGTTTATTTACAGGCTTTAGCTGACAAACATTCTTCTATACAAATAATTATCCTGTCACAAAAAGGCAGTTATCTTTCACACCTCTAACATGTAGCAATAGGTGACTGTTCAAACACAGCCATGTTTAGTTTTAATATTTTGAATATTTTTTATATTTATTCTGGTGAAACTACAGGACATGTGATTCCCCCTGAGAATATTCTTCCCCTCGTTTTGTGTGCCGGTCCATCGGGTCAGGAGCTGGATTTCACCTATCAAAACAGAGACTCTCCTCGAATGGTACGACCGTTTAAAAACCTTCAACATTTGAAGTTTCATTGTTTTATTCCACCTTAAGGCCATATAATGCAGAGAAAGCTTATTCTATTTTTTTCCCCAAAATGCTGTTGGTTGACTTTTTTAAAATTTGCAGATTCGGGTCTATAAAATCATCACTATGATGCAGTATGGATGACCGTGTTGGTCTTCTGTTTACAGATGGATGAAACAGGACGCATTCTCTCCAACATCTGCAACGTGGTCCCTGGGGGGGTTGTGTGTTTCTTTCCCTCTTATGAATACTCCAGGAGGATTATTTCTCACTGGGAGGCCAGCAGCTTGATTACCAGACTAGGGAATAAGAAAAAGGTAAAAAAAAAACAAACAACAGCATATCATGAAAAAAACCCCACAAATGCAAGTAAAACCTGGATAACATAAAAGCACGGCTTTCTAAGGATCACGAAGCCATCCCATATCACTATCACTCCTCAGATCTTTCAGGAACCAAAGAAGGCCAACCAGGTGGAGCAGGTGCTAAATGAGTTTACCCGTTGTATCCAGGTAACATAAACCCTGCTACATACCTCCTAAGTCAATGATCCCATCATTTCGGTTGAACCTCACATCTACATATTACTTTTCATTTCAGCGGTGTGCCTTGGACAGCAGTGGAGGAGTCACAGGGGCAATATTGTTCTCTGTGGTGGGTGGAAAGATGAGTGAAGGCATCAATTTCTCTGATGACCTGGGGAGGTATGAGTTAAACCAAAAACCCTGTGCTTCACCAGCTGCTTGGAACATTAAAAGCTAAATGTGATACTTGTCCATCTGATTACAGGTGTGTAGTGATGGTAGGGATGCCATATCCTAACATCAAATCTCCAGAGCTGCAGGAAAAGATGTCATATCTTGACAAACACCTGGTCAGATTCCTCCTCAAATCCCTGGACTGCATCATTGTAATTGGAAAACAAAAGCTGAATGATTGTACTTCTCTTCATTTCAGCCTCACAGTCATGGGAGAAGCCCTGGGCAAGCACTGGTAGAGAACCTGTGCATGAAGGCCGTCAACCAGTCTATAGGTAATGATTGGAGAAGATAAATTGAGCTTCTTACAATAAGGATCCTTATTAATCTGGAGGCTGTAACATCTAAATTATTTGTTCTCTCCGAAGGCAGAGCCATCAGACACAGAGGCGACTATTCCTCCATCGTCCTTTGCGACAGGCGTTACGCTCGGCCCGCCACGCTGTCTAAGCTCCCCACTTGGATAAAGGATCGCACCACCACACACTCCAGCTTCGGTCCTGCTTTTGCCGCCTTGCGGAAGGTGAGGAGCGCAGTGATGGGCTTAGAAAAGGTCTTTGTGTTACAACAGAAAGAAAAAGTTCATACATATTTTTTTGTTGTTCTTCTCTAGTTCTTCCTGGAGAAGAAGAAGACGCAGGAGTAGTTTCTTTCACAGCTCATTGATGCACTGCAAGGGACCTTTTATATGCTTTAATTATGTTTTTATTTTTGATTTAAACATAATATTTTATTTTTGTCATGACTGTTTCAGTTGTCCTCAGGTTTTAGTCAGGATGTTAGTTATTTTAAATTAAATTCAACAGTTTTCTATGTTAATTGTTACTTAAATGACTACCAGACCAAAATTGGACACAAGACTGATTATTCTTTGCTGAAAATGTTCAGACTTCAAGAAATTTTCTTGTTTAAAGTTTTTTTCCAAATTGTTCCTTTAATTAAATGCAACTTCTTCATTAAAAAAAACCAAAACTCTACAGCGTTGTTCATTATCCATCATGTTATGCTTCCCAGTCATCATCATCCGTCGCTGTGTGTGGGGCAGGAGGGGGCGGGATGACATCTGACATCCTGGCAAAAGCTCCTCCGGTACCAGCAGGAGTTTCACTGGACTCTCCGCCGGCCGGGCCCTTCCCTGATATTCCTGGACAGACCGCACATCAACATCAGTATAACTAATACTCATCTGCTCTAATGGAGTCAGATATTTTATCATAATAAAATACTCTAATACTAATAATATTTTTTTTTTTAGGATATTTTAAGTAAAGCAATCAGATTTTAGATTAGACCACAGTTAAAAAAATAACAAACACCAGAGCTGTAACAAATAACCATTGAAACTAATAAATCCTTTGACTAAATCAAACTTTAGCTGCACTAGTTTGGATTTCCATGTTGGCAAGGGAACCCAACATGTCATAATAATCTTAATTCTGCAGTTTAAAAGGTGAAGAGTATTTTTTTCAACTCAACTCAAACTTTATTTATAAAGTACATTTAAAACAACCAGAGTTGACCAAAGTGCTGTACAGATATCACAGATGCAGGAAATGAGGTAAAAACTTAAAACAAAAATACATAAACTGCAATAAAATAGAAGGAAGATAAAATAGAATAAAATAAGTTAGAAAAAAAATTTTTTTTGGCCAGATGTCCACTTAAACTTGATTAAAAGCCAAGGAGAAGAAGTCTGTTTTTAGGGGGGCTTTAAAAACCTCAAAAGATCCTGCAGATCAAATGTGCCTGGGCGGGTTGTTCCAGAGCCTCAGTGGCGCTGCCATAAAAAAACCTTAAAATCTATTCCCAAAGCAACCGGGAGCAAGTGCAGCGCAGCTAGGACGGGTGATATGTGGTCACGTTTATGTGAGCCAGTAAGGAGAATGTAAGCTGCATTTTGTACCAGCTGCAGGCGGTGCAAAAGTGAGTGCTCAAGGCCAACATATAATGAATTACAGTAATCCAATCTTGTATTAATGACAGCATGCATTACAGTCTCCAGATCTCTGCGTGGCAGGTACCCTTTTACTTTTGATAAGCTTTTTCAAAAGGAAATTGTAGAACAACCTATTTGTTCTGTTTGTATTATTTATCTTAGGTGATTTTTAAACACAACTTTCTTGAGCTTTACAGTAAAAAAACAAATAGCGATGAAAATATTTATTTTAATGCCATTTACAGAGTAAGTAACACTATTTTATATATATATTTTAACAATAGCATTAGCAGAACAGAGGCACCATATTAGTGTGGAGTGTTGGCCTAGTGGTTAGAGCAATGCTTGTGCTCTGAAAAGGTTGCAAGTATCTGGTTTGATCCCTACAGCCTCTCAGTCCCGTTAACCCCACACTGCTCCCCGGGTGCAGCACAATGGCAGCCCACTGCTGCCCGGGGGGATGGGTTAAATGCAGAGGTAAATTTCTCCAATGCGAGATCAATAAAGTTCAATTATTATTATTTATTATATTAATTTGTCTTTTTGACCTTATTGTGTTTATTTTCTGGTGAATATTGTGTTTTTTTTAAGCTTTGTTTTTCCACTTCATTCATTTNAATGTGCCTGGGCGGGTTGTTCCAGAGCCTCAGTGGCGCTGCCATAAAAAAAACCTTAAAATCTATTCCCAAAGCAACCGGGAGCAAGTGCAGCGAAGCTAGGACGGGTGATATGTGGTCACGTTTACGTGAGCCAGTAAGGAGAATGTAAGCTGCATTTTGTACCAGCTGCAGGCGGTGCAAAAGTGAGTGGTCAAGGCCAACATATAATGAATTACAGTAATCCAATCTTGTATTACTGACATTAATGACTTGTATATTTGACCTTATTGTGTTTATTTTCTGGTGAATATTGTGTTTTTTTTAAGCTTTGTTTTTCCACTTCATTCATTTTTTGCATTTTCATCTTGATCAGGACTCCTTAGCAGAAGAAATATTAAATCCAAACGGAGCATTTTTGGATGAATAAGTTAAAGTAAAGCGATTTGATGTAAATTGACATTTCTCACCTTTCCTTCGCATGGCTAGTTTATTGAAGAGATCAGACATAAAATCTCCTCCACTGGATGCCGCTCCAACAGCTGAAAAAAATAAAATAAAATCCATGTGGTCAAGATTAGCATTTAAGCAAAAAAAAAAATAAAATCAATTTTGGACAAAATTTAGTTAATTATAACTCCATTATCATTGATTTAAAAATACTTAATTTTTCAAGCTAAAGACAAAATTTTAAATATGTAATGGTCCATCCATAGTATAGACTCTAAACTTTTGATTACTATAATGCATAGAGAGGCTTTTTAAACTACACATCTGTCTAATTGTCTATCAGGATAAACATTTAATTGTCAAATAATAACAAACTGTGAATCTTCCAGGACTTTTAAGCTCAACCTTGGAGCTCTGACGACGCAGCATCCTTATCTAACCTGTACCTTGAAGCCATTTCTCAAACATCTAGCAGCATTTCTCCATCCCTCACCCTGCTCTTGCTCTTTCTGCTTCTTCTTCTCCATCTTGCGTTCTTTAACGTTGCGTAACTTGGCTTTGCCAATGCCCCCAGCGTTCCGGATGGACTCGAGCAGACTGGCGCGGCCGTCTGACGGCTGAACCACCTCACTGGGAGCACCAGATACGGATCCTACAGACAGAGAGGGAGTCAGGACAGTCAGCTGAACATCACTCACTTAATTACAGTATAAAAAAAAAAAAGTGGGTACATCCATTTTTGGAGACATGCCATTATACTGTATCTTCTAATGGGAGGACACTAAAAGCATCTGCCAATATTATGTAGTAAAACAATTTTTTTCAGATCCTCAGAGTTATTTGCCACAACGTGCCACAATCATCTGGGTTCCCTTCGATATAAAAAAAATTTAACCATTATGTTAGATTAAATTGTGTCTATAAAATCCCTTTTGTTGTGAATTGATGCTGTCTAATTAGTCTGAATTGAACTGCTGGTTTAGAAAGAATGGATGGTTGTTGAGTCATTTCAAGGGAAGAGCAAAGTACTACACTGATTTCTCTTCATGTACAAACCTGAGCTTGACGTCGGAGCCTCTATGGGTGTCTCTGTGGCAGGAGGTGGTGGAGGAGGGGGGGCAGGAGGAGCTCCTGCAGGAATTGGAGGCATGGTTGGCTCAGGGGGAGGGGGTGGCGGAGGTGGAGGGGGTGGTGGTGGAAGATTATTTTGGAGCTCTGTTCCTGGAAAAAACAGAAACTGAATTTAAAGTATCTGGAACAACAAAAGGTGGAACTTGAGTAAAGGATTGGATGAGAGTATCACCATGGGTTTGTTCAAAACCGATTGGGTGAAGATAAATAGGTGGGTTTTCCTCGATGATATAAGCTGATTGGATACTTTATACAAATTCAAAAACAGAATACACAACTTTAAATGAAGTTTTGAAACTCCAACTCTAAATAAAGAAGGTGCCACCTTCGTTCTTTTCATGATGGTTAGGGAAGAAAGTAAAGGGAACAGAACCAGTTCATTGAGCAAATTAACATTTGTGTGGACAAAAGGCCCAAAACTTAAAACCTCCCACTTACAATCCGCAGACGTTAAGTGGGAGTTGTTATGTACCTGGTGCAGGGCTTTCTTCGGTGAAGGAGGGCAAATCTGGGATGTGTAGGGTCGGCCCTGACGGAGCGAATCCAGGTCCGAGATCTGCACTGTATGACAAATCGTCTGCAATACCTGGAAGGTCGGGCAAGTAGGACGGCACATCTATCTCAGGCACCTGACCCAGGTCTGGCACATAAAAAAAACTTTCTGCCGTCTGTAAGAGAGAACAAAATCATTAAGTTAGGCCATCCATGCATATAAGTAAGTGATAATGCCAGATAACAAATGGACACTTTGCATCAGATGGCATAAATAAATGTAACACCTGTTGTACTGGTCCTGACTCAGAAATCTTTATAATCTTAAACCTTTGAACATTTTATAAACGATCAACACAAACTAGTACATGCTAATAAAGTGGAATAAAAGGACATGTGGCCTACATTTAAGTTCACCCCCAATGTAGGGTGACTGTGTAGAAACACTTCCCCCTGCATTTACTGCTCTAAGCATTTTGTGTGACATCTCTGCATATTGCATCAACAGACTAAACTTTTTTCCTATTTTTCTTTGGAAAATAGCTCAGTCAGACTGGATAGTAGTTAATGTCAGAGCAGGATTTTTTTTGCATCTTGTCTCAGATCCTATCTTGGTCTTTTATTAGAGCCCTTCTATTATATAATTATGCTTTGATCTAAAAACTCCTACAGTAGATCTGGCTGCATATTCAGAACTGCAATCCTGCAGGAAGGGGACCTTCTGTCAAATCTTTTACAGTCTCTAGCAGGTTTTCTTCAAGCAATGCCTTACAATTAGGACAAACCAACTTCCCACTAACTCTAACCTTTTTCTCTGTCTCTGTAGTTTAAGGGGATGTGCAGTGTAAGTTTCCCATCCCGAACATTGCTTTTCATATAGAGCAGAAAGTTTAGTGGAAGAAAATCACTTTATTCCAAGTTTGCCGTCTCCCCTACTCATAAGCAACTTTCTTATGAACACTACTGTGGACAGATTATCCCATATAAGCTGTGGATTTCTACATGTTTTTTAAAGTTATCATGGCCCAAATATTTTCTAGAAACTTTCTACAAATTTTTCAGTTTTAAAATCACTTAAATTTCAAATAAAAGGGATTAAGGTTTGCAGTTATAATGTCCCAAAACTGGAGTATGAACAGTTCTTCCTGGCACAGTAAGCCTGCATATACCTGTCTCTCCAGCTGCTCCCTCGTTGTTATAGACAAAGGAGCATCAAACGGTTTCTCCTCCTTCTCCGTCTCCAGAGTTTGGTGCGTTTTTGTCACTGCTCCAGCCAGAGGATCAAGGAACACATATTTTTTGTATCTATGGGAAGCAAACGACAAAGAGGCCGATATTTAAATCCCACACAGCTGCTGCAGCAGGAGGCGTGCGAGTCTGTTTCTTTTTTCTTACAGATTCTCCGTGGTGTTAAAGAGCAACAGAGAGCTGACAGATGAGATGTTTCGCGGCAGACTGCCCAATCCTTCTTCCGTCTCATCCTCAGACTTCTTTTTGTTGCTCACACACACTGGGAAATATGTTAACTTCTCCTGAAGGGGGACAGAGATCAATACAAAGTGAGCTCATGGGGAAGAATCTGTAAATCTTGTGCAATGGGAATCAAAAATGAATCTGCAAAAAGAAGCACAATCAGTGAAGACGTTTCCTTCGGAGAATGTTAAATAAAGCATTTCTTCACCAGAAACAACTGCCAGGTTTTTTTTTTTTCAGACTGATGAACTAAAATCTACACTCTTGCAAAAGTGAGCACAAGCAGCAGGGAAAAAAATATGCTTGTCTTCTTGTAAAGGTTGCAGAGATGGAGGAAAAACTGTGAGGCTATAAATTATTCAGAAGCTTCGACTGAGCAGAGCGCACACAGAGACACACAAACACTTATTCATTTACAGTGGATTTTCCCTGTCAACGTGCACACAGCTCCTGACGTACTGCATGTACGGCATGTGACAAATCTAACGACAAGGCATGCAGAATAATCTGCATCACAGGCAAAGATGGGGGAAAAAAATTTATACCTGTGATCTTGTTAGAGATGCGGATGTCAAGTAGCAGATATTTATTTATGTTTTTGCCTCTTTCTTTTTCAAACCTTCTGATCATAAATCATGTATAAATGATAAAAATGACATATGTATAAAAAAGTATTAACAGCAATGGAAATTTGAGATATAGCGAGACGTGATCCCAAAATAAAGATAAATAAACTGGGGAAATATGCACAATATTAAATCAAAGACTAACAAAAAAATAGGTATTTCAAATGTATTTTCATTACTTTAGCTAAGTGGGGGAATGACGAGGGGGAAGGATGAGGACAAAATAAGTGTGGACAAAAGGATGGGGATAAAAAATATGTATTTGTGCCAATTAGTTTTGTTTTATGCTTCGTTATCTGTTAAGAACATTTCTTTTTAACGAAATTTCAAACAAAGCCGTGATTTCCTCTTTGAGCAGCTTAAAAGACATAAAAGAAAAAATAACACCATATTTTATTTTTATCGAATACAGAATAGTTTGATACATGCCTGGTGGTGAGATCAAATAATTTGCAGAGAGGGTTAGAAGGGTCGGCTCAAACAGTATTAACTGGAGTTTTACTGGGACCAAATACAGAAAAAAAAAAAAATAGCATCCAAAAATTATCTTTTAGTAATCATCATTTGTTTTGATCAATTATCCGTGAGGGAGTTGTTGATGTCTCCTCAGAAGATTCCAGACAACAGACAAGATAAAAGCTGCTTATAAAAATCTGAATATCCCTTCAACCCATTGTGTTCAGATTTCTCGCTCCTCCAGCTGTGTTCTTGTTGTAGCTCCAGGTTCATTCTTCTTGTCATTACTCAGTTCCCAGCTCAGATAAAAGCTACATCTCATAGGTTGTGATTGCCTTGCAGCCAGGAGAGGACCACACGGATGTGGGGGCCTTGAAGAGCAGTGACTAGACCTGGACTACACTGGGATTGTGTGAATGTAATTGGATGAATATGAAGTTGTCTTTGTCTACTTGTCAGGTTGATTATTTGCCTCCCCCCACCTACTGGTACATCATAGGCCCTAAGTATGACCAGGGTAGGGCCTGCCTCCTCTCCCTTCTTATGCTCCCTGCCAGTGACAGGCGCCTGTGTCTGTTGGCGCACTGATGGTCCTCTAGCTACAGGGTTGGTACTTCAGTGGGCGTGGTCACATTCCGGTGGCGTCGCTGGGCCTCCTGGCCTTGTGGAGCCCCCACTAGGGGGTGTTGCACCAGCCCATGGGCTCGCTGCTGCAGCCCCTAGGGACTATGGCCTCTTGAGTTGGCCCCTTTAGGGTTTGGTCCCTCGGGGGTCGAGCTCCAGGTGTTCTTGTCTGCCCCTCTCTGGTGGATGTAGCCATCCCTGTCTGCCCTACTTGAGTCCTTTCCTGCCTCTATCTCTTTCTCTCTCCCCTTAGTTCTTATCCCCTCTTTCTTTCTCACCCCTTTTCCATCTCCGTGTCCGTCGTATACCATTTTACTTCCTAAATAATATTTTATAAAGTTTCATATACAGGTATCAAGGGAAAGTTATGGCAACCGTCATAATGGTCTGCTTGTAAAAGAAAATCTAGCTCAGAGGCATCCATTCCCAGAGCTATATTGGCAAAACAGGACACACACACACACACACAAAAAAAGCTACATCTCAATGTTTTCAGCAGTAACGGTGGATGGGGGAAGCTGCTTAAATGATCTGAAGGAAAAAGATGATGATCCCCACCAACACCATCAGAAGAGTTCAGACAGTAGCACTCGGAGGGCTAAAAAGCCCCCAAGACAGTGGATCAAATCTGTGTTTGTTTTGTGGCAATGTGCTTTCTGCACACTCTGGCTCATTTCACTGTGCTCTGAAAATATCAGGACTGACGGTAAAATATTCCCCAATCTCACATTTTGGAATCTTAATTAGGAGTTAGAGAAGTTGTACCCTGCAGCCTGCATAAATATGAGAAGGTGAGATGAACTCCTGCGCTCCTCATCTTTCTCCATTAGACCAGAACATCATAATTTAATCTGTTAGCATAAAAACACATCTAGACCTCTGTGTATCCTCTATCTTAGATACTGCATTAACCTTGTTATCACTCAAACCAAACATTTTGACTAACAGCAGGTGGATGATACTTTTAATTTCTGCACTGTATGAAAGAGAACCGGCAAGAACCAGCATGTTTCAGAAAAGTAATGTTTT